GTGCATGTATTATTGGAAAGATAAAATTGAGATAGGTGCAAATAAAAATAAATCGAAAACTAAATAAATAATTAAACTAAAATATTTCAAAAATTTTAGAATTTGTAAAAAAATTTATTTCATTTTATTTTTTAAAATATACATAAACGGAAAAATTTTAATTGTCATCAAAATTAAATTAAATATACGCTAAAATATATTTGAAAGAAAGAATTTTTTTTCAATTTAAATTTATTTAAAAATTAATATATAAATTTTGATCTCAATTAAATTTTAATATCATAATTTTTTTGTTATTTTTAAAATTATGAAATTAGCTGGCCTTTAATTGAAAATTGAAATGATTTTCACAATTCAATAAAGAGTGTATAACAAAGATATTAATTTTTAAAAAGTTTGTTAATTGACACGAATATAAAAGTTACTTTTGAATAAAATTAAAAGTTAATAAAATAACAATATTATGAAATGATTATAATAAATGCTTTTATATGAATGTTATAAAATACTGATTATCTATTTTTTCAATAATGACATTTTTGACAACATTGTCAAGAGAACCTGATAATATTTTGCTCATTCACAGTATTGAACGGTATTTTTTGATTTTTATATTTTAGGGCAAGACCTAAATGGTTGCGTAGTGCATAGAATACGTAGGTGAACAAGGTAACCGTATTGATCGCGTAAATTTAACATTTTTCTTAAACATTTGTTATTTGTAACACTATGTATCTTGAAACAAGCACTACGCGAACAGTGTAGTGTAGATTCTTTAGCAATTTTCTTATTTTTCGATATTTTGTAATTTATAAATTTATAAGAAAGTAATATAATAAAAAATTGTCAAAATTTTAATATGTAGTAAGGCGGATACGTCATTAAGTATTAAAATATTTCATTTTCATGTTTTCAAAATTTTTCTTTAGAGATCGCTGTATATACTTAGGTAGTACTAAAAATTTGATTTTTTTATTGAAATTTTAAGACACTTTCGGTTCATTCTTATTTAATCTCAGTGGTAAAAGTATAATTCTTTGAACTTTATATATTTTTGTTTTTATATTTTTAAATTAAATTTTATTATTTGATTTTGTATAAATTTTAATTTTAGTTCATGATTCTTGTATATATTAAGAACGCAAGCCTAAATATTTGTATAAATTTATATATTATGTAAGTTATAAATCTTGTATACAAAAATTTCTTAAAAAACTAGACTCAAAGGGAGTAATTAACTTAATTTTCTATATAAATGTATATATATGTATTAAAAAATTAGCAAAAAAGAATCCTTAAATAATTACTTTCATAATTTAATTGATTTTTTAATTTTACTTTATGCATCGTTTCTATATAATTATAAATAATTTTTTTTTTGGGTGCTTCTCTTTTTTAATTTATTCAAACTAAATTAAAAAATATTTCAAATTTGTGAAAATTAATTTTATTCAATAAAATTACTTTATTATTATTTATATATAAAGTTTTGTAATAATTACTTTAATAATTAAGTTATGCGATAAAAATATACACATATACGTTGTTGAAACGTAGTTGAATCCTTTTTGCAGAAAAAATAAAATAATAAAACAATTTCCGTTTTTTTTTTCGCAAGCACCTTTTTATAAATTTTTTTTTTTATTATATTTTTAAAAATATTTTATTAATTTTTTCATTATTATTAAAAAATTTTATTTAATGTTTAAATTGGAATGATATTTTAAATTTTTTTTTGTTTTTTACTTATTTTTTGTTTTATTACTCACTTTCAGCCAATTTTTTATCCAGATTTTTTAAATTCTTAACGGACTCATTTATATTATCAGTAAGTCCTTTTTTGCCTTTAATACTACAACTATTTAACGTCTTAGAGGCAGGAGTACAAGAAGAAGAAGAAGAAGCCGAAGTTTTTACATGATTTTGATGCTTATTCAAATTTTGTAGTTGAGCTGATTTTACTCTATCGTTATGTGATTTTTGAATATGATGATCTCTATTACCACTAGTAGGAGCTAAGGAGCTACTTTTCGATCGGGAATGGATTGATGTGGATAGGGTTGCTATAAAATAATTTTACGATTTGTTTTGATTTGTTTTTTTTTTTTGGTTATAACTTAAGTATTTTTTTTTTTTTTGAATTTGTTTAAATGAAATTATTATTTTTGTTTTAATTGATTTTTTTTTTTAACTTTAAATCTTAAAATTAATAATAATTTTTCGATTTTTATTAAATTTGCGCTGATTTTTATTTAAATATGACTCAAAATGTATTTCAAATGATTTTAATAAGAGAAAATTAAATATTTAAAAAACAAAAATAAAAAAAAATCAAAATGGAAAACAGAAAATTGTACATATATAATATATTGAAAACAAAAAATACCAAAATTAAATTAAAAATATTGTAAAAATGTTTATAATTAATAAATGAGTCCCCGGAAGATGATTGTATATATGTTAATTTTAAAACACTATTTCAATTAGCAAAATTAAAAACAATTCTAATTAAGACTATATTGAATCGTTGACTCATGTTGATTGAATCGCTTGTTGATTAAAAATTTGGTTTTTAGCAATAGTAATAACGAACTCAGACTACCATAATTTCTTCTCATTTCAAATAAACATTGCAAATAAAGCATATTTATTTTCATAAATAAAGAAAAAATTAACATTTAACAAATTACTATTGAAAATTTTTAATTCAAAATCCAAAATAATTAATATTAATGCAATTGGGCTCACTATATATGAGCATAATTAATAACAATGTTTTTCAATTAACTCCTACGAATAAATTTAAGTTCAACTAAATTGTGTTTTAAAATAAACATAATACATTTTTAAAACTATAATTATGGAAAATTTCTATAATAATATTATGTTTTCGCTTCTAAATCGTGTCATTTTATTCTTTAACACATAATTGTATATCGTGTTAATTTACTATTAAGTATATATTTATAGTAAATAACTATGTAATCTAAAAAAAATTTAACATTTATATGAATAATATTTAATACGAAGGAAGATATCTAAATGCACATTGATCAATATGTATTTAACTAATATATTATAAGTATATATGTATGTAATCTTCTATATTATCATACACATATAATTATACATATATACATTGAAAAAAATATATTATGTAAAGTCGTAATATTATATAAACAACAATTATCTATTTTGTAAAAAACTATTCAAAAAAAAAAAAAATAGAATTTATATTTAAATACAGAATGTTTCAAAAATAATTTTATTTAATATGGAATTTGAAAATTCATGTAAGATTTGTGTAAATTATAAATTTAATTATACAATTTAAAATTATCAATTAAAATTAATATATTACATTTGAAATCATTCATATATAAAATCATTGAATAGATTTTGTAAATATTATTTAAGAACCATTCTATATTTAATATAATACTATATTTTATAAATTTAAACAAACCCTTTAGTTAAAATGGATATATTATTTTTAATTTAAAGAAAATAAAGTAATGTTAATTGGTCATTAAAATATTATTCTCGTTTCTTGTGGTGGTAATTTAATGCAATTATAATTAATATTATTATAATATAACAATAATTATTATATTTTTAAAAATTATATTAAATTTTATCTAAAATGTGATACGAAATTTAATTAATCTAATCAATAACATTATTTTCAAGTCATTTTAATTTTGAACTGAAACCAAATATAAAAATTTTTTAAATATTAAATTTAAGAGTAATCATGTGTTATGCCCTTACAATTTATTAATATTAATTTTTTAAAAATTCTTAATTTTTAACTGCTCTTGACAGTTTGTTTATTGAAAATTAATAATTTTTAAGTATATTCAAAATAATTGTTTGAATAATATTAAAGTTGTTGTAAAACTAAATTAGTTAGTTTTTATAGTTTGATAACATTGTGGTTTATTAAAGATGGATTACATGAATAAGGATTGCAATATGAAAATTTTTGCAATTTTGTTTTCAAAATTCCGATTTTTCTTTTTTAAAATTATAACAATTTTAAAAGATCAATTTCTTTTAATTTAAGGATAATCTGATTTATGTATAGCGCATATAGTATGTTCAAAATGGGTTAAGCGCATTGTCATCTCGCATAATTAATTGAAAACAAAAAAATTATTTATATGGGAATAAAATTTAATAAATTAAATTGTAATTATTTGCTAAGTTAAAAATTGCTTTAGAATTACATAATATTTGTGTGTATATTAATATAAAAATTTAAGTATATTCAAAAGCGTATTTTATTTATATTGCTTCTCTGCTTTAATTATGAAAAGAAAAAGCAATTTAAAAATGAGAGAAAACTAAGCTCAAATATTCATAAGAGTTTCCGATGCCCCTAATCCTTTATATCACTGAATAATTTTTTAAATTTTATTCAAAAATTATACAAAAGCCTTTCAAATCCATTTTAATTAGAATTTGTTTGTTTGTTTCTTTTCTTTCTCTATAAAATTCATTTCAATTTAATTGTCTTTTTTTTTTGTTTTTATTTTACTTTTGCATGCTTTAGTTTCATATCCAAAAAAACATAGATACCAAGAAAATAAAATATTAGAAAAACTAAAAACTATATAAAATAAATAATAATATTAAGTAATTAATAAAATAAAATTAATTAAAATTTAGATTATTTTGAAAATAAAAGTGACAAATAATTATAATTTAATTTATTAAGAAAACTATAACTAAAAAATTAATAAAATATTTAAAAATCAATAATTAAAAAGAAATCTGCCCTAAAACTGAACTGTCAATTTCTTCTGCACTTTTTTTTTTTTGCACATTTTTTTTTCTTTGCTGCTGTTCTTGATTTTAATTTTAATTTTCAATATAATATAATCTTTTTCATATACTATATAATGTATATAAATAATATTTAAATTGAATTTTCTGTTTTGTTCGTTTTAGGTTGTTAATTTGTATTCTGTCATAAACTACAAATACAATATACTTACAAGGTCTTGGTTTTCTTTCAGTGGTAGTAGTAGTAGGGGCAGGAACTGCTGATCCAGGTTTCTTAGATACTTTTGTAGCAGGTGGTGCTGATGATGGTGCAGTGCTAGTTGAACGCAATTGACGTTTTGGTGATGATTCATTTGCTTCAACAGCAGCTCCTGGACCAACCGATTGCGAACGAGCTGCATATTTCCCATCAAATATATATATATATATCATGATATATAGATACATAGATATTATATATATACATGATATTACATATATATGTATATGTATATATTAATTTAAAAAGTTTAGAAAATTAATTTTGAAATACTTATGATTAACATACAATAAATATATATATATATTACATAAAAATTTTTAGCGAAGTCCAACATATGTCAAAATTTGGTGAATTCGGTCCCGACGTAAGGTTTTTTGGTGTGTTGGCCAGTGCTCCGAATAGCTGTGAACTTCAGATTGATAAGCAAAATGCAAAGAATGACAATGGTTTGTATTGATGGGGTGTTACATACCACCTCTACCAAGGCTCTTGAAATTTTCTTCCATCTGCCGCCATTAGATATACTGGGCCGGGAGATGGCTGTAGGATCTGTAGTACGTTTGAGGGTCGCTTCTCAATGGCCATGTGATCCTAGGGGACATACTTCTGTTCTTGCAGACAGGCGACATGTGGTGGAAACAATTGATTCGATTCCTTCTGTGTTGTCAATCACGAATAAATTTGGAACTTCGATTCTGCCAAGGCAAACCTGGTTCAACGAAGTTGGTGTCAGGGGCGTGCCCGTCAATTTTTACACGGACATATTCAAATTTGAAAGCTGGGTAGGTGGGTGAGTCTATTTTGAGCAATTGGTTGTAGGTCGTCTCGTAGCGAAATGACGGGACAGTTCGAGATAAATTTGGTTTGGGTCTCTGGGAAGAGTGGGGTTCCGTGAAATTTTAAGCCGGACTAGCTTGTAATATTAATTATATTTTCTTAAACATTATTAAAGTTTGTAATAATGATTTTATAATACTTTTTTATGGTAAATTAATTATGTAATTAGAATTTAGTATTTTTTTTTTAAATTTCGTTAAAAATTAATAAAATTTGTATGTACATATATAATATATTCATATGAAAATCATAAGTTTTCTTAAATTTCTATATTTTGTTAATATAATATATAATATATGTATATATATGTTTATATGTATATATATATCTATTAATATGTATGTAGGTATATATAAAAAATTTTGAATTTAATTTATATGTGTAGCATATTATACGATGGCATTCAAAACATACAAGTATAACTTTTTGTGTTTTTCATATTTTCATAACCAAGTATATAAATTTTGTTTTGTTTACTTTTTTTTTGTAGCTAACTAAGATTTCCCTACAGCAGATAATATTAGACTATTGTATTTTTTTTTTAATTTATTAAAGCTAATATAATAAATTTCCTATATATTATTTACTAATATATTAAGTATAATATATATAATCTCTCAAAAACAAAAAAAAATTATAAATAATTATATTAATTAAAGTTGAAATTTGGAAGCTTATTCGAATATTTAAATTTTAAAGTTTAGAGTACTTTTGGTTTTTTTGTTCGACTTTTGAATTACAAAAAAAAAAATGGTATTAATTTTATTCAAAAAATTAAGAAGCCATAGCAAAAGCTTAAAATAAAATAATAAATTTTATATTTATATATAATAATATTATTGTGTGTTCCTTAATTTTTTAATTATTTTTAAGAATATATTTTATTATTATAAATAATTATTGCTTAGAATAATTATTTCTTTTTTTTTTTTAAAAAAAGTGCAAAAATTTCAAATTAAATTTTAAAAAATTAAACATAAAATTTAAAATATAAAATAAATACAAAATATATCATATAAGACCTTTTCATAAACGCAATATATCGCGATATATAGGGAAAACTGCGCTATATTTGTGTTCATAAGCAAATGTTGCTCACTACAATTTGTTTATAAACACGATTAATTTTTTCAATATAGCAGAGTTATTATGAGTATAGCGCAATTAAGAATGGTTTTGATTTTATAGAATAGTTAAAAATATATTGCATATTCATCACGTTATGTTTAAGGCATTATTGCATTCCGCCGTCATCGAAAAAGCACTATTGCGTTTATGAAAATCTCTATAATTATATAAAACAGAAACCAACAAGAGTTCAACTATAGGGTATGCATTCTCAAAAAAAAAATATACTTTTTTTTCTGTTTTATTCTGTTTTAAAATTTTTATTTATGTTATTTTTTAGTTAACGTTTAAAAAAGGGGGAAAAGGAAGGAAAAAACTCAAACTGTTATTTAGAAAAATGTTTTTGGAAATATATTTTTTTTCTTCTATATGTTTTAATGTTGTTAATTTGTTTTATATTTTTTTTAAACATAAAAAAAATAACAAAGGAAAAAATAAATTAATGAAAAACAATATGAAGATAAAAATTAATTACAATACCAAAAAGAGATGTAAATTATGTCCTTTTTTAAATTCTCTATATGTACTTTTCAACTCTCATTTTATACGAAAAAAAAAATTTAAAATTATACAACAATTGGAAACAAATACAAACCTTTATAAGTTTTCTTAGGGCTTCCTTTTTGTGGACTACCTTTCTGTGGACTACCATGACGTGATGGTACACTTTTTTTTGGACTTCCTCTTTGTGATTCAGATTCACGTTTTGTAATAGCTGGCATTAATTTCTCTCTAGTAGGGGAAGGCAGTAATGCTCCTTCTTCAACATCTAAAATTTTTTAAATATACGCCGTGTATATGTATATACATTACATATATAATATTTATTTTGTATGATTATTTATTTAATTAATTTTATAAGTTATTATACACACAAATTTATCATCAATTTTTTTTATTTAGTGATTATAACTAAAAGTTAAATTTGCATAAGTTGATGATTATTTTGTGTTTATGACAACCTTAGTTCATCTGTTATTTTATATAAAATGCATTTTACTCATAGGCAATAATAATAAATAAAGTTGGGCCAAACTAATGGTTTGTAAAGCATATTTTTTGATGGAACAGCATTTACTGTTAATTGTCTGCATTTATAGAAATTTGGAAGAGCTAATAGTTTGGAATTATAATAGTTCCGATAATTCAAATTTTAAGGATTTTGGAGAAGCGATTTTGGAAAAGCTGGAAAATTTCAAACTTCTACAACTTATTTCATATATAATTTATGCATGATATAATTTTAAACACTACATAAGCTTGGTCATATAGGAAAAATGGCACAGATAAATTAAATTTATTAAAATGTTAACCTTTATAATTTGAGTTTGGACTTGTTAATGCCAAAAGCAAAATTTTTCTCGAACTGATAAGAACTTATTATATATTTGGTATTTAAAATGAAAATTAAGAGTGCGTTGTATTAAAACAAAAGGCAAATATTGAATGTTCATTCAATTACCGACAGTAATATCCACATAGTTTCACTTGTTACACTAAGGCAACAAGCAAATTCATGTTTAAAATTCAACAAGAATAAGGGGAGCATACGTAATAATATGTCTTTATGTATATACATACGTTATGTATATAAATTTTTTCCCAAGAAATGCATTTTATATTAATGATAATAAATATTTAATTATATTGTTAATTAAATATCAATTTTTATGAGGGCAAATTTATAATAATTATATTATTTAATGATTTAATTTTTTTTTTAATTTTTTCCTTCTTTATATAATTTACCAGGTCCAGTTGTACGTTCTAAATGATGACGTATTGTTTGTACACGAGCTGGCAGTATTGGTTCATCGATGATACGATTATCAACAACGTCTCTAAATTTTTTTGATGGAATTGATTTTTTATTATTTTCTTTTTCTTTTTCTTCTTTGGTAATAGGTCTGCGACCATTTATAATAATATAATATATAAATATAGTTTTTTTTATATAATTATATATTTTTATTAATTCAGATAAAATTTATTTAAAAAAAATTTTTATAATATTAAATTTAAGAGAAAATTTTTTTAATTGCGATTATTACCTATGAACAGTTGAAGCTAAAGACAATGCTGATAGTGAACTTCTTTTTGAAACTTGATCCCATAGATCTTTTTGTTTTTTATGTAAATCCGGATCTATTTCAATACCCCAACCCCGATGCTATTAAAATATAAAAAAGTAAAAAAAAATTTTTGATTAAATTAGTTTGAATAATTATAAATTTTTTAATAATAAATATTTTTTTGACATTTCACTTGATTAGTTTAGCAATCAAAAAATTTTTTTAAATTAAAGTGTTGCCGGTATTGCTTTTACAAAATTTTGTATCGCTTTTAAAATTATTTTGCAGAATATAATATTCGAACTATTATAAACTAAACTATTATACTAAAACCAAAATTATGAAAAAACGTTTAACCATCGTAACTTAGAAATTAGTTCTGCAATTCTAGGCAATTCCAATATTACATGCAATTAGTAAATCTTTAGAATATATAATTAATAATATTATAAAGAAAAACAATAAATTTGGATTGGACTGATTCCCTTTGTACAATTCAAGGTATAACACAAAATTGTTCCAGTCACTCAATCATAATTCAAAAGAAGAATGTACTACACAGAAGCTCAAATCAGAAATTTACATCAATAACATTCACTCCACTCACATTGGGATTCTAGAAAATGTGGAAGTTGACAATCAATTGAACACCCTAATACGCCATACACTTTTATATTAAAACTTAATCAACAAAAACATTAAAAAATTATTAAATGATGAATGGAATGGAAATGATGACTGGAAGTATTGGAAATAAAAAAAATATTAAGAATATGTAGTGTAAAAAAATATGTATTAAGGTCGCAAAATTAAGGTTTGGGTATATAAATCTTGCTTATAGTTTGTGATGTTGGCGGTATATTAACTATAAATCATATTGTTAAATCAATGCAACAATATCTTGAATAGCAGACGAAAATATTAAATACAAAACAAAATAAGTTTTGAAAAACGAAAATAAAATAAATCATAAGAATATTTTTGATTTTTTCAAAGAAACTATAATTCCTTCTGAACTGATAAGCGAATTCCACTAAACTTATTGTATTACTCTATAAAAAATTAAAATTTGTATAAGCGTCTGTTAACATCCTATAGGGTTATAAATCTATTTTGGTATTTAATCTTGGTATTTAACCAGATATTTTTGATTCATTAGACTTTCGAAACTTCGATAAAAATTAAGACATTAATAATGTACTTAACTAATAATATTAACAGTCATTCTAACATATAGACTTCTTTTTATACTAACCTTGTATTCCCCAGCTTTTTTTCTTAATTCAATAACTTCCTTATACCATTCTTCATTATTATAAGGACTTGCATTTTTATTTTCATCAAAAGATTTACTTTTAATATCTTCGAATCCAAAATTTTCCTTTCTAGTTATGAAATGATTTGCTCTTTCTTGATCAATTAATTGAGAAAATGGGCGTGTTGTTTTCGGCTCCGCAATAGTTACTTGCCTTTATTTATTTTGAATATTTTTAAAGTAGTAGAAAAATTAGAATAAAGAGAACAAAATAATAATGGTGAAAATAAAAGTAAAAAGAGAAAAAAATTAAGAAATTGATTAATATTAAAATTTTCTTTTCTTTTTATATAATTTATTTTATGAAAACAAAATGTATGGAAAAGAAAAATATTTTTCCCGAAAAGAAAAACATTAAAAATAACAAACAAAAAAAAAACAATGGCAAAACAATAAAAATGAATTTGTTATTATGATTTATTTTTTGTTTTGCTTATTTTATTTTTTATTTTAATTATAAAAATAGTTAATTTACTTTTCACTTGGTTTCTTTTCATCAACATGATTAACTAGGGGCTCCAATTCATGTACGGCAGCTGAAAATAAACATAAATCATTTTAAAAAGCATTAATCCGAAATTTTTAATTAAAAATAAAACGAGAACGAAAAAAGAAAAAAAAAAAACAAACAAATTAATTTATAAAAATTAAAAATTAAAAATTATTTTTTTTTACTAATTTTAAACATTCTATAAAGAGAAAAAATTAAACTAAATTTTGTTTTTTTTAAACAAAAATTTATCAAATATAAATTAGAAATGATTTTAATTGTTGTTGTTTTTTGTACAGAGTGCTAAAGTTAACCCAATCAAAATATATATAAGATAAACGGAACCAACAAATTTTTTAATATTTTACTTACGTAATTTTTTTTTTTTTAAATATACAATTATTATGTATATATATACTTAGCCACACTAATTTATACAAAATACAGATTTTTCCATCTTTCATACAAAATAAATTTATACACCAAAAAAAAAAAATTTTTCAATGATAAAAATTCAATTTTATCATAAGTAGATGAAATAAAAAAAAAATATTTATAAAATTTAAAATTTAAATTATCGAATCGTATATTTACAAACATATATGATAATTATAGGTGATTATAACAATGGTATTCAAAATTGAAATTTTGAAAAATTGTAGAATTAAATGAGATGAAAAAAAAAATTATTTCGTAGTGCTTTCTCTCTCTAAAATGAAAGTGATAAAATGATGAAGAAACAAAAAAAAAAATGGTAATATCGTAAAAACCCGAAATTCTACACGTGCTGTTGACATTCTAAGAACTATATGCAATTTACTTTTACTATGAGTAGGCTATCAAAAGTGAACAGTAAAAGGTATGGAGAGACTCTAATTCGAATAACTAAATACATGTATATTTTCAATAATAACTTTTCAGGACTGTTTCTTTTATTATACTTACTAAAAATTCATTAACAGTAAACTCGAAATGTATGTATTAATTTTAATATATAGGGCAGTCCTAAAGCAACACGCTTTAGGGCTACCCTATTTCTAATTATTTTGTAATTATTTGCTAACCTCAATCGAATATTTAAAAATTTAGATTTATTGTAATTTGACACATTTTGTTGTTCTTACAGTCTAGTATGCTTATTTAAAGAAACTAACTGGTATATAATTGCATTCATATATAAAATTAAATATGCCATTTTCGATATAATTATACGTGTAGCAGCTCAAAGTTACCTCATTTTTTCTAATATCTTCCTCAATTATAAATTAACTCTTATGCTTGCAAATTTTATTTTAATTATTATTTTAACATATTATGACTTTTTATAATTTGCATTTTACCCTACATATTAAAAGTTAAGTGAATCTATTAATTTAATAAAATTACGATAAATGAGATTACAATTTGAAATATGAGATTGACAATTTAATAATTGAAAATTTTTATTTCATTATGACAATTTTTATTATAATTACTACAAAAAAAAAATTCTATTACAAGAGAGTGGGGCATGTTGGAAATTAATCATATTAAAAAATATTTCATTTACATGTGTGTCTGCTCGTACCTTTCATTCTCATTCAAATGTGAAAATATTCATGGATAAATTTCTATTATGTTTTTTAACATTAATTTTTTTTAATTTACCTTTTGCTTTCCCACATATTATCCTATGTACATTTATGTATAAAATGTAATTATTTTTTTTGCTTGAATAACACACAGTGCATATGTAGAAAAAATGGCCTATTCCATAGAAACTATATATGTATACACGATTTGTACCTATGTTATATACAACATAGTTACTTATAGAATTCAATCTAATTGAGGTGAAAATATGTTTGAATGAATTTCACAGAAAAAAAAATCTAATGGTTGTATACCTATATGTAAAATTTAGTTAAAAAAAGTGTTAGAATACAAAAAACAAGTGTACAATTTTAAGCGGATCGTTAAATTTTAATATTGATATTAAATTTAATTTATACTTTTTTTTCAATTTAGACAGATTGAAATTTTCATAGTTTTGTCAAAGAAAAATTCTTTTAATACTACATTATTGTGGTATAATTGATATTTTTTTTTCAGTGAATGAAAATTTAATGAATGAATATTTTGTGCTTTGTGTCACATCTACGTACTTGTATGTATACTGTTATACTAAAATGTTAGTACATGACTATATGGTGTTAATTTAATGAATTTTTTTTTCTAAAATTTTAATTTTGTTCTTTTTTTTTTTGATTTTTTCTAATTTGATATTTATTCTAACAGGAAAAAAAAAATAAGCTACATTAAAACAAAACTTTTCTTCTTTTAAGATTTCATTGTGATTGCAATTTTGTTTTTCTTGCATACTTTGAACAATTTTATAACACAATAATATTTTAAATCAGAGTTTTTCAAAGTGAAAAATTTTACTATCAAATCCCAAAAAAAATCTGTCATATTTTATATTGGGGCGAATGAATGTACAAAATGAGTGGGGTGACTGGAAACTACGAAATTCATTTGAATATATTTTTTTTTCTAAATAATCAAAATTAGGTTAAATATCATGTATTTTTAATGAAATATAGAAAAAAATCTAAAAGAGGAAATTTTTATTTTTCGTCCACTTTTTGGTGGACTCACAAAATTAATTTTCATGACACTAATGACATACCATTTTTATTTTATATTTTTGTGTTTTAATCTTATCTTAAAATCCAAATAATTTATTATAATAAAGTAGAAATCGCTATACGAGTATAAGTAGTCTAATTTAATTACAAAATAATAGGAAAATCGAAATTTAAGATTATTTTATAAAAAAAATATGCTTAAAACTGGTTAAAATAAAATAAAGAATTAATAATATATGTATGTATTTGTGTATGTACATTATATACATACAAACAATTCAAATTCGCAAATCTTATGATATTCTATTACTAAAATGTATGTACAGTAGAATCTGGTTCCGGTGATATTCACAGCGAAAAATGCACAGAATTGAATGACATTAATCGAGTTGTCAAAATAAACAAAATCTCTTTAATATCTCATTTTGTAAGAATAGACGAGAATTGTTTTAATTTCACATATTTTGTGAAAATAAATGGTGTTAAAATAATTTTTTAAAAATTTTCTACGTACACAAATTTTATTTTTTGTACAATAATATTTGGGTATTAGTTTATTGAATGGTTATTAAATAACATAATTTCAGTCGTAACAGTTAACATTAAATTGATTTTTACATTAGATTCAAACTGACATTACATGAAAATGCAGAAAGAATTTTTTATATTCGATCTATATTGGCAAAATATTAAAGTTTATTTACTTTTATTTTAGTACAATTTTACAACCGATGCGATTTTACGTGGATTCTACTGTATATAATAAAAATAATATATAATAATAAAAAAAAATTGATTTTTACTTATGAACTATTGGCGCCTTTATTTTTGTTATGAACATTCGTAATAGTTACAAGTACTCATGAATTTATATGTATGTATGCATGAAAAAAAATAATATTTATCTTCAAATTTATGACATCATTAAACTTTTTCCTACCACCATCTTATATAATATTTAACTATTATGTTTAAGGATGACAAACTATATTGAAAGAATTTTCGAATTGAGTAAATAAAAAAGTTTTCTTGTTTTATAATAAAACCTGAGAAATTAAGAAATTTTTATTGAATGTACATGAAAGGGAAAAAATCTAAGAAAATAGATTAAATATTTCTTAATGTGAATGTATATTAACTGTAGATTTCAAATAAAATGGTATATAGGTTTTGGAATGGAAAATTTTTCAACTTTGTTAAATATACACTGAGATTGTTATTAAAATTTTCTGATGTTAAACGCATAACATTTCTTACAGGTATTTTAAATATGTATACATATTGTGTATATATTTGGAAATGTCTTAGAGTTGAGCAAATATTTCACAATTGCAAATATGGATATATATTACTTATAATATGTGTTATATAAGAAAAGAAAAGGATATCATGCCATAATATTTGCACAAATTTTATGTCAATAAAAAAAAAGTGTTATACAAGTATATTTTTAAAAAAATGGGAATTATTCATTTTTTTGTGACTGTGAATTTTCACAGTTCAAATGTATATGTTTTAAATTAAGATTACTTAATTTGTACTACACAATATTAATATTGAAAAAATTGCAATTAATTTTTTACATATTGTAGGTTTATGCATTTTATACCCTATATAATTAATTGATTATCATTATATAACAAGGTGTAAAAATTTATTTCATATACAAAATATTTCTTGATTATTGGATTTAGATAATCATATCCCTTATATACTTAAGTATATGTATGTATATCGTAATTCTTACATGCTTATTATGTATGTATATCGTAATTTTTTTATATCACATATGCTATAACTATAAAAATTTTTATTTAATAAAATTTTATTGCAGTAGAAAATATTATTTATCGCGTGTTAAACATTTTATAACTTGTAAATAATTTTTTTTTTCTAATGAAAAAATCTACAATCTTTTTTATAAACAAAATAATTATATGCACGCGAAACAAAATGCCGGTTGAATGAAATTTATATGAAATATTAATCTTTGTATTAAAATCTAACGTAATTTATATTTTTACATACACGTTTGTTTTTGTTGTTAAAATGCTTAACTAAAGGAATTTATGTAGTATATGACTTTGAATTAAAAAGAGTAATTAGAATTCTGTTAAATTTTTATTGCAATTAAAAATATTTTATGAATTTTAAATTAAGAGAAATTTACATAATATATAAGTATGTATAACAATTTCCATTCTCATAATATAATGGAAAATTTTTGATATTATCAAATTGTCAAACACAGATCAAAAAGTACAACGTTAAGTTAATTATATGATTTATTCATGTACATATATATACTTTATTTATATAATTTTGCAAAACGTACATAATATAATCAATAAGGAAATTAATATTTGTATGTAAATTTATACAATATATATGTGTTACACATGTATGTACATTGATTGCAGTTCAATTGAAAGAAATTACATTTAAATTAAAAAACGTGACCCTCTAATACTTTACGTATTTAGAATCATGTTTGATATGGCATTACGTACGTAAACAGAAATATTTCATCACTTTGATTTACTCTCTATTTTACATTAAGTATTTGCCTACGTATATGTAATTGCTTTAAGTACAAAATTTCCTCTTTCATACATGAAACGTACAGTAAATAATAATGTATACGAAATCGTTACGTCAAATTATGAAATTTCAAGTTTTTTTTTTTTTAAATACAGACTTCAAAATTTTGGAGATACAGTTTGAGAAATTCTTTAATTTTTGAAATATGTTAAAACCATATATTTTGATGGAAAATCTTTGCAAATTCGGTTTTTGCATACGACGTATATAATGATGCTTTATAAATAATAATAATAAATAATTTTATTATTATACTTAAATAACTGGAGCGTTATTAGAAGAACGTAATGCATATGTATAGAGTTTTATTACTATAATGACAGTAGAATATTTAAGATTTAATTTATGATTTAAATTTATAAATTCTTAAAATGGAAGCTAAAATAATATTGTTGGTGCTTATGTGCCAAGAGAACATAACAAAATATTTTACAAATTATAAATTTTGTAAAGCTTGATTGCATGAGGGATTAATTCACTCCTACAATCTATAATATAAAATTGTTCAAAATATACTATAATATTTTTTTGTGTATTTCTATTTATCTATATATTACGTATATTGTGTTATATATTTTATTATTCACAATATCATAAAAATGTGTTAAAAAAAATTTACAATTTCTATTTTTTGTGTGATATTATTGTAACTGAAGCACTCTGCAAATTGCTAAAAACAAGCTAAATTTTCTATAATTATTAATAATTAACATTTGAAAAAATATTTATAAAACAAGATAATATTAATTTTAGAAAAAAAATAATAAAAATCTAATATTTATTAAACAAAAACAAAAAAAAAACTAAAAAATAAAAACTATATAGTAATAATGATAATAAGAATAACAATAATATTAATAATAATAATAATAATTATGATTATATAATAACAATTAATAATAATAATAACGACGAGTACATAAAAAACTTTTTAATTGTATATCAAATTTTTTCAATTATTATTTTATATAGTGTCTTTTTTTGTCATATAATACCTTTCATTTACTACGAAGCAAATTAAATTTCTTATTTTTATACTTTAATAATATAATAATTAATATTTAATTAATAATTATAATTAAGAAGAAAATGTTAATAGTTTTTATGATTGTTTTTTTTCATAATAGAGCCAAAAATAAATTTAATATATATATATAGCTATAGTATATGAAAAAAAGAAAAAATTAAATTTTAAAATACTTTAAGTTAGTATATATATATATATATATACTTTCATATATATGTATATGCAAAAATAACATATATATATTGAATATATACTATTAATTAAACTATATATATAACATTCTGTATATATATATAAATATGAACTTTTCAATTTCAACTATAATATTAATATTAAAACCCGACACAATTCAATTATAAGAAAAAAGTGAATAAAAAAAAAATTCAACTATATAATTATGTAAGACGGTATATGTATATATTGAAGTCGGGCTAAAAAAATATATTAAATTTTTCTAAATGCACATTTTAACCAGTATAAGGGGTGGAAATATAATTTAAAATATAAAATTCCAGGGAATCGAATTTGATATAATATTTAATAATATTTGCAATCAATTTTAATCAATAATTTTTTTATTTTTAAAATTTCATTTCGAATTTTATATTTTATTTAATGGAAAATAATTCGAATAGATTTACATAAATTTTTGAATTAAAATTGAATACTAAAGTTTTTTTTTTTAAATAAAAGATAATAAACTGAAAATAAGAATTATAATTAAATTAAAAATAATCAAATAAATATAAAAGCAAAATAATATAAATTATATGTAATTTATATGTAATTTATTTGAGAGTCTGTATCTATTTGCATATGTCAGTAAATACGGGACAATTTCCGATACAGCAATATGAAACAATAATTGCCAAAATGATAAAATGACAATTATTGTATTTTGTTATTACCTGACAATAATAAGGAAACTCTTATGAAGCTATTATGACATATAAGTCATAAAAATTGTAAATTTGCATGTGTGTAGTATTTTATTTTGAATTATTCGAATTGTTAATATTATCAAGTTTGACAATCCATTGTGAATTACATGCATATTTGTTAAGTAGAATTTTGTTAAAACTTAATATTATTAAATTATTTTGAAAATTATAATTTATGTAATTAAATATATTCATATATAAAAATTTATTTGATAACTATGATCAATTTTGAATGAATTTAATTGATTTTAGAATTTATTTATAAATACGCAATTATACATCCAGGTACATGTTGAATTTGAAATACATTATAATTTTACGATATAAATACAATTATCATTAGAAAGTTTTTGATTGTGACTAATGTGTCATACAAAAGTCTAAATAAATTCGTAAACAATGTTTGACATTATCTTTTTCTAACAGCAAATAATTGAAATTACTCTGTTCTCATTAAATTTATAATCAGTTTTTTTGGAAATAAAATGGAAAATCCCATTTTTGTGAGATTCTGAACAATGTCCAGCTGATTTTTATTCTGGTTATAATTTTTTAGTAAAATTATTAAAATTTTTAATGAAGCCATCAGATTTTGTCATATATTTAATCTTGTATCTTATGGTTGTATATACATATGTACGGTATCTTAAACAAATCTCTATTACACGCTGATTATCAAAAAATAAAACTTAATAGCATAAAAAAAAACAATAGTAAATAAATAAAATAAATTATAATTTAATTAATTTAATAAAAACTAAAAATAAAAAATTATATAAATGAAATAAATACAATTAAATTAAAAATTATAATTAAATAAATTAGAATATTTTTTTTTATTGTTTTGTAGTACTACACCGTCTCGCCTATATTTTTATTAGCTTATAAATTATATGATATATCATAAATATTTTATATATATATATATATATGTATATAGTTTCTACATTACTCTACTATATTAAATGTAATTAATTTTTTAATTTAATATTTGAATTTCTAAATATTAGATTTCAGTTAATATACGTATGTATATAAAATACTACATTATATTATAATTATTTTGCATAATTAACCATTTTCAAAATAAATTTGATACTAATTAAGTTATATAATATTGTTAGTAAATAAAATAATATATATATGTATAACTATTATATATTTATATAGAGAAGATTCATATTAGTAAATTATTTATTATTGTTTTGAAAATAAATAAAGTATAGGTATCTATACATAATAATTTGAATTAAATATAACTATTATTGAATATTATTTGTAAAATAAACATTTAAAATTTATATAAGAAAAATTTATGTATATATTTATAACAATATATGTATGTAATAATACACTATAATATAAGAATCAATAATATTAAATATTTGAAAAGTACAATTACGTATAATGTATAAGAGCATTCAAAGTTAAATACATATTTTCAAAATTGTGAGGAATAACAATAATTATGGAGGCATTCATATTTCCATATAAACCTTTACAAATATTGAAATTTAAACAATATTTTTATTTAGAATAATTTTGTTAATTTTAATTGAGTTCTATAAATTTCTTTTCTATAACAATAACAAAATACAAATAGGTTTATTAAGTGAGATGTAAAAAATTGTGGACAACATATTGTTCTATAGATTCAATAGCTTCAATAGCTTTTTTTTATTCGGATTTTTATAACTGAGAAGAAATTATTGTTTTATTAAATTTACATTATAGATCTCTTATATAAAACCTCACTATTATGAAATTTTTTGAAAAATAGGAATTACACCCAAAGGGTCTATTGTGCCTTCCTCGAGACCCACATTTTTGATGAATCCGAGGCATTTGAAATTTTAAATCGTGAAAATTTGGTGAAACTTTTCATAAAAATTTTTGTATGAACTTTTAAACAATGAACTTTTAAATAGGCATAGATCAATCTATTAAAAAGCAAATTAGTTTCGGAAATTTTACACTGGCTCAATAAAATTTTTCAATATTTTTCACAGTGTTAACTCTTATTATGAATGCCCCTCAAGAATTGTTTCCGAAAAAATATCAACTATATATATATTTAAAGAATTCATATATGTAAATTTATAAAATATAAGCTTTTAAATAAATTTTGTGATTATAAAAAGAAGTTAATAAGTATAAACAACTTTAAAAAATACAAATTACAAAAGTTAGTAAGGTATACAAGTAAAAAAAAAATGGCAAACAATTTACAAGTACTTTTACACATTACAGAATTTTTCTTTTTTTACAGATTTGAAAAAATTTTAACAGATATTGTAACATATTATTTTTAGTTCGAACATTATTATATTACAGAAAATTATTTATATAACATAAAGGAATATTACGAAGGAGTGTCAAAAGTTTACCAAAATATCAAGATTAAAATAATAAAAAAAAAATATTTCGTGTTAAGGTTGTTTACGAGTACAAAAGAAGGTATTAAAATATAAAAAAGAAAACAAAAACTAAATATACAAAAAATCACATAAAATATAAAAGTATAAATAATTTTAAAATTGATTAAAATGTGCAAAAGAATTTCTATAGAAAATATTTAAAAAAAAAATTTTTTTTTTTTTAATTTTGCTTATATAAAAAAAAATTTTTTTTTCTTCTTTTTTTTTTGATATTGTTCAAAAATTTAAGTTTAAATTGAAAATATTTTCATAATAAAAATTTTTAAAAAAATTTTTAAAATCTTTTGTTTTTAATTGTTTTTAAAAAGTAGCGACATATTATGTCGCACCTTCTTTTCGACTTGGTGTTCGTTTTTTATGAACCGTTGGCAAAACATTTGATTGTGATGGTTTGATAGCACTCATTGATATCGATTTTTTTGGTTGATCTGGATCGTTTGGCCCTTTGATTGCTCTACGAGGCCAAACGAATTGCAGTCGATATTCAGTACTCAATTTTGAAATTGTCTTTTTGAAGATGCCACTAGACTCACCCGTCTGTAAAAAATAAAATAAAAATTAAAAAGAAGAAAAAAACAAAAGAGAATAATTTTTTTTTTTTGTTTTTTATACAAATACATATGTATATAAATTTTAAGAGAAATATTTTTATTAATATAAATATATAAGAATATAAAGTGTTAAAAATATTGATTTTTGGTATAATAATATCTAATTGTGCAACACACATATGTTTATATAAGATTTGCTGTTTATATTAGGGTTTGTTAGTGCATCCAGCTCATTAAAATTTTATACAATTAATATAATAAAGCATATTTAAGTATGTACATGTATATTATTATATTGGCAAAAAAATAAAATCAAATAAGGCATTTAAGGAATATATTTTTGTTATAAAGAAAAATTGTTCAAAATATTAAACATAAGTATATTTTTTCAACATTTTGTTTATGACACTCCAGACTTGCTTCCACGTTTGTTTTTCTAATAATACTACATAACAATAATAAAGGTGTTGAATGTAGAATTTGACATTTCTCTTCTGAAGTTACATAATCTATTGTCATCATTTGTGAAAACACGTCATTTATAGAGTCATAAGAGAATAATTTAACCCCATAATTATTCGACAATATTTTACTTTAAAAATATATCTAACGAACACTCCCATGCAATTTTAGAGATATCCTATAGTTTAACTCCAAGTCACATTTATATACAGTTATGTATGTCATCACCACAGAAAAATTGTTCTTCCCCAATTTCATTAACTTTACAAAAAAACCTCTAGAAAAATTTTAAAATTTATAGCAACCAATGTTTTAAAAAGCAACCAATGTTTTATTTTAACTATTTATTGTACCAAAACCACAGACACTTTTTAAATTACTCAAAAGCAGAAAACTGACTTTTTCAACTGCGACATGAGACTAGATGAGCATGGAAATGACAAAATGTCTTTAAAATTAACTGATATTTAAAATTCTTTTTTTTTTTTTTTTCAAATTTTTGAGTCTAAAATTTTGACAGCTTTTTTATGCCAATAAACAGTTAGTTGGAATTCTTTAGAAAAAATTTTTTCCACACAGCTCAAATTTTGAAAAATTTGAATTTCCGGCATTGCATGCTTTTCCAAATTTCTATAAATGTAGAAAACTGACGTAATTAAAGCACTTTTGAATTCGATTATTGTGTGGATACCTTCAATTTTTTTTTGTCTCAGCCTAAATGTATACAATATTTGAAATCTTTGAAATGAAATTTTCGTCTGTGAAATATTTTCATTTGTTGAAGGAAATTGTGCTACTTTATAAACCATTAGCTTGACTCAAATTTATTATATTTTCGTTATTTTACAATAAAATATAGAAGTAGTTACCATTTTGCTTTTATTTATTATTAATAATATAAAAATCATTTACTATTGATCAATAGTCTGAGAAAAAATTACTTTACCTTGAACTTTATAGCAAAAAATAAATTTTATATATTTATTCTAAATTATATAAATAAACTAATAATATTGATTTTTCCTTAAAGTCAATATTATTTATGGAAATTGTAAAGGTTATAAGAGTAATTCAGTTAGTTTCGTAAATAATTCAGCTTCATTAGTTTATAGTATAAATAGGCTTATCTATTAAAATAAACTATTTTTATTTCCAATAAATAGACGCACATTAAAAATTTCAGATTGTTTATATTTTCAATATTCATTTTATTTTCACCACAAATTGTAAATTGCATTAGAATTAATTTTAGAATTTATTAGTAAGTAAATAAAAGATGATATATTGAAAAGTTTTAAAGCTGAAAATTTTAATTCTGAGAGAAAATCAGCAAATTATTTTTACAAATAATAATACATATATAGTTCCGGAAGTTAGATGTAACATACTTTAAATACTTAAAGATCATTTCAAATTTTGAATAAAATCAAAGATGCTTTTATATTGATGTAGTATACATTAAATTGCGATTCTATTGGATACTGTTATATGTAGAATGCGGTAATTAATAATTTAATATTTAAAGAAAATGTTTTGAACATCGAATTGCTGACACCAAGAAAGTATATAATATACTTACAAAATTTTAAAAGAAAATCAATTCCTTTTCCTAATCGAATATAATATCAGCTATAATAAATTTAAGATTATATTATATGTATATATGTAATTAATTGATTTTCATATTACCATGAAGAGTATAATAATTTCGTATAAATGAGTTGTGATAAACGGTATCACAACTCTTGATATGATATATTATTTTAAACCTGTATTAACATAAAATTTAATTTTTTCTAATTTGGTTTATTAAATAAAATTTAATTTGCACCTACGAGTAAGTATAGCAATTATTATATGTGAATATTAATTTTATGTTAGTTTTTTAATGTTATTATGATAATTAGCCTAAGCAAATCCCTACACGTAGCATTTAAAATAAAAATTATTTAAAATAATATTTTCATAAGTTAAGAGCAGTTTTGCTTAAAAATCAATGCAATAATATAAAAAAGTCATAATTTAAATTCGTCAATATATTACCAGTAAATTTAATAACAAAAAGACAATTATAATTTGTATAACAGTTATAATTTGTATGACAGTTATAATTTGTATAACAGTTATGATTTTGTATAACAGTTATATCATGTATAACAGTTATATTTTACGTAAAGGTTGTAATTGCATCTAAAACAACCCCAAATAAAATATGTGATACATAAGTAATTATATGTATTGCATTTAAAATATTTTAACAAAAAGTTGCTATAATAACTTTGAGTTTGAATAATACTAATGACATACAAATGAGTTGGTACGTATATATATGTACATACATAAATTAAAATATAACAATAATAATTAACAAAAAAACTAGTTATATTGTTATTGGAATGAGTGGTTTTCATTTATAAAAATGTCAATTCCAAGATAACTAACTGTCAAGAGAAAACTATAATTACATAAATTATTTTATGCTATTGTTTCTATAAACGTAATGAGTAAATTCTAAATAATATTACGGTAAATTTAATTTATGTTTTCTCAATTTAATATATACAACACAATGTATTCATATCTCTATAAATTTTCCATGTCTATAATAATTGATGTTATAATGTATAAACATTTTTACTTTTCAAATGATTTCAAGCAATTTAATTTTATATTATTTAAATATAAATATTTATTTTAAAAAGGGGATTTTTCCGGTTAATGAAAATAACTTATAAATATATTGTTTTATACATATATAAAGAACTTTCGGTTCTAATAGGTATATTATATATATATGAATGTATGAAGAGGTTTGCTTTGAAACAATTTTTACATTGCTTATTATGCTTATTACATATTTGTAAAAAAGATGACTATTTTTATTAAAAATAAAATATTATAGTGAAAAAGACTTTATACATTTATAATGTTATATTTTAAATATAAACTATAGATTTAGTAGAGCGAATGTTTTAATCGTATTATAATGAATATAGAGCATCTATATAAATAGATTTTGAAAGTCAAATGGGAGTATAATATATAGAGATTTTTATAAATGCAATGTTCCAAAACGCATTATTGCTATAACATAATATGGTGAATATATTTTAGACTATTTTATTAAAATAAAACAATTTATATGATTTAAAAGTGCTACTAATATAACAATTTCACTCTATATGTTGGAAATAATTTGGCAATGTTTATGAAATTTAACTTATATAATAATACTTTTTTTATCAACATAAATATAACACAGTTTTGACTGTAATAATTCAAGTTTTAATTGAACAACTCTAATGGAGGAGAGAATATTATGATTTTACTTGTAAAAAATTCGTAATTTTGCGGTTCGAAATATATTCGAAGACGGTTTCAAATTCATTTACATTCATTTACTCTCAGAAACTCAATTTGTCCCTTATTCGTACTTTACATTTGTTAAATTAATCACATTCACGCATAAATTATAATATTTTACATACACGAATTAATAGATTTACCAGGTATTAGGGCTTCCATTAACGACATACCCTGTATTTTTTTTTGCTATTACTGTTACACTATAGAGTTGACGTGAATAAACATTAATTTTGTTGATTTTTAAATGACAACGAAAATTTTCAACAAAAAAAATTCAATACAGATAGTCTGAAATAATCGCTTTAGGTCACTAAAAATCAAAATCAAATTCAGTCAATTTACAAACTGGAAATAAAAAAAAATAGCAAAAAAAAAAAAAACAGAAAAGCTTCAAAAAATTAATTTACTATGCGAAAATAAAACTTTTTTTTTTGTTATTGTTTCTGATTTTCTCTATACTATACTAAAAAAAAAATTATTTAAATTTGTTGTTGTTTTTATAGTATTTCGTTCATTTAAATTTTTTCAGTGAAATGATCAAATTTATAATTAAGGAATACAAATATTATAGAGTTTAGTTCATATTCGCTCTTTAAGTAATATAGAAGTTAATGTAATACAAACATACTTATGTACTTATACCCCGGTGTAATTACGAGTACATATTTAGAGTGATTTTTTTTCAGTTTCGCTATACATATTCAACTATACATATATTTGTATGTATATATACAATATAAAATTAATTACTTTTATTATCAGTGAAAATTAAAATTGATATTTATTTTAATATTATAAGATTTGTTTTTTTAATTTTTATAATATAGTATACATTAAGGTTAAAAATATATCAAGTATAGAAAATAAATTCGCTGAACGCGATTATAAAATAATTATTCGCTTTAAATTTTACCTATTAAATAAATTTATTATATAATTATTACATATAGCCGTGTAGAAATATAAGAATAACTTTTTAATAATGTTAAAAATTTAATGTAATTTAATAAACGTATAAAATTGATCATAAAATATTAATAAACATACTATAAAAATTAAATTTTTAGAATTAAAATTCTCTTACTTAGAAATCAAATTCTAAAACCTATATATTATTTTATTAATAAATAATTAAAAAATTTTAATAAGAAAAAAAAG